AAAATTCCGTTACTTTTGTATTTTCGAGGCTGGTTTCAGGTGAATTTCACCAAAAATAACAATGCACACTTCTGGTTGCACCTGCCAGAAGGCATTTGTAATCTTCAGACACTCTATAATCACATCAGAAATCTAGTGTTCCTGCTAGGATCCATGCTAAGGAAATGCCAAAGCCATTGATGTAATATTTGTTTTGCAGTATGCACAGAAGTGGTTCAAGAACAGCTTTGGATATCTAAATACACATAGTATTAATTAGATTTCACCATAGAAGCAGAAAAGAAATAGCACTGTTTCAGAGCTGGTTAATAATGATTGAAGTCTGTAAGTAGGGAAATCTGCTTTCATTCTCAATCCAGTGTTTTTATGAGCAGCAATAGTCAAACAGCATAAGCTTTCAGTGTTAACAAGCCACAGATTTAGCTTTTGTGTGAGCGTCCCTACTTCTGATAATGGTGATACTTATTTCCGTACCTTGGGGAAACAAAGGCTCAGGTAAAGGTATTCTGCACTAGGTTTTCTGCAGTTTAAGTGGCCACTGTTTTGATTGTAGCCCAGTTCAGACAGATGCTTGAGCCTGGGATTAAATCAAAGGTTTTTTTTAATATGCATCACAACAAAAGCACCTATTGAGAGAAAAAAAAGATTGCATAAAGCCACTAATGCCTGCTTTCAGTTTATCACAAAGCCATTACATTTTGTTTCCAAAGTAATACATGCCAAAGTCCAGCTGGCCGTCTCAATATACTGCTTGCAGGATGAAAATCAGTCCATTCACAACAATTCAGTTTTATATGATAGAATGGATGCTTAACCAGCCTGAAGCACTAAACCTTTAATTATTTTCAGCCAGAGTTTATGTAACCATTCTGACACCAATCAATAACCTCACATCAAACCAAGATACAAGGAAATCTTGAACAATTCACAGTGGGCCTCTGGTCACTCCTCATTCTTCCTTGGAAAGTCAACAGGATCTGAACCTATTTACCGAAAAGCAAGCATCACATATTTGCAATTACTTAAAGCCCAAAACTCAATTTTCAAGAGTTTCCTGTGGCATTGTCTTGAGAACCATGACAGATAGGCAAAGACCATCTGCGACCTTTGGGCCAATTTGTACCACAAACCCATGATGCCTACTGTGTCATAAAACAGATATTCCCACCCAACCCAGAAGCTATATTGTACCCGGTACCTGTACCAGACCCTCCTCAAACTCTACTCCTCTCACTACTTAGTACCTTATCCTCTCATATTCATGTATGATAACACCCCCTCCACCCAGGTGGCACCCAACAACCCCTACTCAACCCTACTCACCAACCGCCCGTTGCACTAACCTTACATACTCATCTTCTCCCAGTGGTAAGTAAAATGGCTTTGGATCTTCAAACTACTTCTGCTGTATAACAGAGGAGTGGTATCAGTGCTGATCCTCTCCTCCCTCGGTGGATTCTTGCACTCACCTACATCACTTCAGTTAGAAAGGTACCTGGCTTGAACATTTACCCTCCAAAGGTGAGTGAACAAGTTTTCGTATGATCTGGGTCAGAAATAGCGATGCCAAACTAAATTGGACATATATCTTAACCATAAACAATAGTTAATTTGATTGAGCCCTTGCTTTTCATAGTAAAAGATGGTAAGGGTTTGACACTTTCCAAAGTCCTGGATGGCATACACTGGTTTAAGCCCATTTGAGGTTCTGTGGAGCAATGGTAGATCCAGATTTGAGACCCAGACCAAGACTTGCTGGCTATGGAAGATTGTTCCTTATGTAGCCATACAGGTTAATTATCAGTATGTATGACAGGTGGCAACAGCAAGAGAGTTTCCTGATCAGCCAACCTGCAGAAGGCAATGGCAAACCAATCCTCTGCTCATATGCAATGATCAATCCAATGGAAGTCTATAGCTGCCCATATGCA